TCTTCAGAGCTGGACTCAGTTAGTCCTTTAGATCTTCAGAGCTGGACTCAGTTAGTCCTTTAGATCTTCAGAGCTGGACTCAGTTAGTCCTTTAGTTTGTCAGCACTTGAAAACATTAGACGTTGAGTCTGTCAGACCTTCACTTCTCTGACTCTGTGTGTGAGAAGGTTTAACTGTATATTTATGTGAACACACTCAGGTTGTGTCGTGTTGTTGAACTGCAGTTGTGAAGGTTTCTGGCGAAGCCTCTGTTAAACACAGTTGACAGGTCTATTCTGACTGTTGTTGGATTCTTCTGTATAAAGTTTGTGTTGCTGTTGTGTTGTCGTCCTCTCAGCGATGTGTCTCTCTCACAGCAGCGTTTTGTTTTCTTTCTGTTTCTCGTCCTGAAGACTGAAGAAGCGTTTCAGCGACGTGGAGGAGCGGGAATAGTATGTTGCAGCTTCCTCCGTGTTTGGTTTGCTAACATCTTCCTCTTCTTCTGGTTTCATTAACAGGGTTCTGCTCTCTGATTGGTGCACTAACACAACTCCTCCTCCTTCATTTCAGTGTCTGTGTTTCTGTATGGGGGGTTATTTGTGCCACTCACCTAATGGATGTTGTGTTTTAATGAAGTGCTAATCTTGTCACGAATATCAGCTTGACAGTGTAGAGTGGCCGTGCTGCCCCCTACAGGCAGGGATGAAACTGTTGCGTTCATCTGTACGAGCTCTCACAACATTAAACTGAAACACGTGTGTGTTTGTTGTGTTGTTACAGATGAACAGAATAAAAACTTTATTGCACTGAACTCACTTTCTCAGGAGGACGTGTGAACGCAAATGTCCGAGTCAGAGCCTCCGTATTTTCTGCAGACTTCATCTGCCTCCGAGAGCCGAGAGAGTTTGTGGTGATAAGAGATTTAAACACGATCTCTGCAGCGGAGTGAATACGTCACTTCCTCGTCTTACTTGGATGAAAACGATGACACACATGCTCACAGTCCTTTTCTGATTGGTTCTTTATCCATCATGACGAAGCTCATCTGTGGCACCAGTCGCTCCCTGTTCACCTTGAAACTGACCCCTGGGTATTTCAATGAAAAAAGAGCGCTTCAGTCTCTGCTAATGTGATGCCAACTGATGCGATGCTAACAGATGTGATGCTAACACTGCTGCACACTTCTCTCCATTTGAATGTTAACTCAGCCGAAGACGAGACAGAGCTAACTATGAGCCGGTGAAAAGGTAACAGGCTGTGTGTGTGTAGCTCAGTGAGCTGTAACCCTGTGACGTGTTAGCTAACCCAACATATTAGCTCCTCTAAAGTACAGAACGTGGTGAGTTCCCAGTCAACCTCAACATCCAAGATGGCCACACAGAAAACTACACACGTTGTCTAACTTCTATGGGTCGACATGTTGTTACAGTCACTGGTGATGTTAGTGAGCGACCCCCAACACACACACACACACAGACACACACAGACACACACAGACACACACACACGTCTCTCTGTAGTTGTGAGGACACTTGAGGTTTGTACTGAGACGTGATTCCCGCAGTGTTAACGTCATTCTCACTTCGCCTACGTTCTCATTCACTTTCATTTATTTCGTCCTGATGTCTTTAAGAAGTTGTTGAATTAAACTTCATTGAGTTTTTGTGGCCGGTTGGTGGTTGAGTGGCAACGTCATCGAGAATGAAGCAGCTAAAGATCTGCACTCGTTTCCGTCGTGTTCCAGATTTATTGATGATTGATGAGAAGACTTCTTGTCCGTCACTGCTGGTGTGAGTTGCATTAGTTGAAGAGTCTTAAGAGCCGGAGGAACCGCGGTAACATCAGGATACACATCTGTCCTGTTGAGTGGACAGCTCTGTCTGTGATCTATTCCACTTCCTGTTAGCTCCCTCTGTGTTGAGTGTCTCTATCGGAGTTCAAAGTAGCTACATGCTAACAGCTAACAGTCACCTGACTCTTTCCTCTCTGTCTCCACAGTGTTGCCTCGGCAATGCACTCAGAAACGCCCGACCGCTACGAACGCCTCACGTCCGTCTCCAGCTCCGTCGACTTCGACCAGAGAGACAACGTAAGGACCTTCATCGTTTTCCTCTTCATCACTGTCGACTGAGCTGTGTGCACGTCCGTGGCCGCAGACAGTGACTGAATGGAAACACGCATCGGCCAAGAAAAAATCTATAGAACTTGAAATATAAGTTACATAGTCTATGTAAAATACAAACATAACATCTTTACTGCTTCGTTTATGTAAAATATGAATTTACACACGGAAACATTCGTCAACATTTAGATTATTAATCTTGTCATTGACTTAACAAACCAAAACTCATTCTTGTGACGCTAAATGAATGAACCTTCTTCTTTGGTTTGGCTGTAATGAGCCTCTGTAACTGCCACTCTGGAGATGGTGCGGCGCCCTCTGGTGGTGCAGATGTAAACTGCAGAATAAGACTGGCGCTGCTTTGATGAAAAGATCATTTTAGTTTGATCCTGACGCAGTTTGATGTTCTTACAGTTGAACATTCTTCCTGCAGTGTCAGTCTATCGCTTCATGTTGAGACGTTTTGTGTAAAGTGTGTGTTTGTTGTGTGTTGGACCAGTGAAAGTGGAGTTTAGCAGGTTTCTGTTTGGTTTTAATCTCACTATTATTTCACTCTGAGATCTGAAACAAAGAACAAGTCAAATGTTTTCTACATTTTTATCAAATTTATCGTAATAAAATAAAAAAACTTAAATAACAAATTGTCTTAAATCAGACTGAAGTCTCAAAAGTTTGTGTTTGTGATTTTCACGCTGTGATTGGTGTGTTCTGACCTGCAGGGCTTCTGCTCGTGGCTGACGGCCATCTTCAGAATAAAGTGAGTCAAAGGTTCACTGAGATATTTTGGCTTGATTTCTGGAGGAAGTGGCGTCCATCTTTATTTATAGTCTGTGGTTGTGACTGAGATGCCCCCTGGTGGCAGAAAGCTACATGTTGCGTGTTTAACTCTACATTAATGTCATGTTTTTGACTTGTCCTCCTGCAGGGATGAAGAGATCAGAGAGAAATGTGGGGAGGATGCAGTTCACTACCTTTCCTTCCAGCGCCACATCATCGGCCTGCTGGTTGTAGTAGGAGTCCTCTCTGTCGGCATCGTCCTGCCCGTCAACTTCTCTGGAGACCTGCTGGGTAAGAACAACACCTGCACCACACCTATAGGTCAGTAAAAGACGTGTCTTTAAACGCAGCTCATAGATTTCCTCAGCAGCTGGACTGGATCCTGTGGACTCTGGTCTGGAGTTTTCCTCTCACTGTGTTCTCGTCTTGTTGGTTTTAGTCCGAATTATCAGTAAAGATGCGTTCCTAAGCCAAGGAGTACCTGGACCTCCGTCTAAAGAAGGTAACGACAGGTGCTGTGTGTTAGTCTGATGGTAGCCGGTGGTTTTAGTTGAACCTGGATCAGTGTGGTCAGGACGTGTAGCTCTGTGTTACAGTAGAGTAGTGATTCAGAATGTCCGACCTCGCTATAGGAATAATGAGCTGATGGTTGTTTATGATGTAAAATTCAATTCATTTAATTTGTAAAGCGTCAAATCATATATAAATGATCTCTTTACATAGAAGGTCGAGACCTTAAAAATAATAGAGAAATCTACAGCTCTCACAAGGTCTCTGACGACTGAGAGTCAAAGTGACCTCTGCCTCGACCGGTCTGTCTTATGTGTCAGAGGTCAAAGGTCATGGTGACCTTATATTATCCTGAATGTAAAATGTAATGTAGTGTGAAACTTATGGATTTGTCCTAGTTCTGTTTGTGAATGCTCATAGTCAGGTTGATCATTTTATGACTGCAAAATGTTTACTAGCTCTAATGTTCAGAAAACATCACTTTCCTCAGACTGCCTATTGCTGCAGCTCCTCTTTTCAGCCTCTGTCTCAAACACGTCTTCTTCTTTGGTCAGTTCATTGGCAGGTGGCAACCAACGTCATGGTGCATTACCCTCAAACACTTGTTTTTAGCTCCTGTCTCTTTAAGACCCCCCCCCCCAGGCTGATAAAGCGGCGTCTCCTCTGATTGGTCAGCTGGTCCACTCTGTTGTGATTGGTCAACTGCTTCCAACACGTGTAGGAAATGTCGCCCTCGTCTCTCTCTTTACCTGCTTTGTGAGGCGCGTATGACACGATGGCTGGTGGTTACATCTTAAAAACTCCCGGCTGCCCAGTGAACATCTAGAGAAGATCATGTGATGATGAACTGTCGATTCCAAGACAAAACATTTCATTTAAAATTTGAGCTTCACCCGAAGAAATAAGCATTTTCAACTCTGACGTGTTTCCTGATGAAAAACTTCTTCTGCTTTTTGTTCCAGAAAACAACGCCTACAGCTTCGGACGCACCACGATCGCCAACCTAAAGTCTGGGTGAGCACATGATCATCACCGCTGGAGTTGATAATGAAGACAGGGGCTGCTGATTGGTCCAGATGTGACCATGTGATCAGGTTCAATGACAAGAGCTTGACAACAATTAAAAAATATGTCAAAGCAGAAAACTTGAATTAATCTGATAATTTAGGTAATTATGAAAGTTTAGTCTAGTTTAGGACAAATATGAAAACTGAACCTAGCATATCACAAAGACTTGAAGCAGGGGGAAACTGTTAGCATAGCTTAGCACAAAGACTTGAAGCAGAGGGAAAC